GGTTCAGGAAGAGAACGACAGGCATCCAGCCTCCAGGGATTTAGGGTCATTCCCATGAAATGATTAATGAAAAAATAGAAAAGTAGGTATTGCAAAGTGAATGCTAAGCTCAGTGATAAGATTAAGTGCTGGTGAGTCTCAGAGGTGAAATCTATTTGTAGGCAACAGCATCTGGTAAGACTCCCCAGCAAAGGCAGTCTGGAGCTGGCCTACTGCAGGCAGATGTGATGCAGGCAGAAAGGAGACAGTCAGGTATTACTGTGTATCACTGACTCTTCATTTCTGGTAGGCCCAGAAATTTCTCCACTCAACCCACACTGAAAATACTTGTCTTCAGATCTACAGAGATATACACCTTACATGCCACCAGCAACCTCCAAATGTCCTTTTAGAAACCTAGAAGATATTTTCAGTTTTTGGAGAAAATGGGCTGAGTACAGGGGCTCAATACAGTGCCGAGATGACATCGAGATGGTCACTCTAAGAACTGAGCATCAAAGCATTTCTCAGCTTGTTCCAAAATAATCAAGGTTATATTTTGGTTGAAGGCAAAGGCTAGATGGCTCTCTATTTCCTCTAAAAGCACTTTCTAGAAAACTGAAGCTAATCTTTTAAATGATAGTTGTTTCTAATTTAGAAAGTCAAAAATTTCAGAAATACACCACATACTTCCATAGAACCCTTAAGAAAGACTGTTCTTAAAATCTTTAATCTTTGGCAAGCAAGATGGCTTAACAGGTAAAGGTTCTTGCTGCCCTGGGACCTGCAAAGTGTAAGGAGAGAAGAGACTCCTGTGAGCTGTTCCCCGACCTCTGCATGCATGCTGTGGTACATGTGTGCATGCACACACAAATAAGTAAATAAACGTAATAATAGATTAAAATATATAATTTCAATCTTCTTTGATGAAGATGTTCATTTAGTGAGAGCATAAATGTGTTCTACACACGATGCTCTCAGCCTTTGAGATGAGTGGGGATGATATGTTCTACCCTAAATAATCCCAGGCTGCTATGTCATTGTTTTCTTTGCATCAACATTTTATAATTATTGTTTCCTTCTTTTATCATCAAACATCACTGCTCACCTTCTAAATGTGGTAATCTCTAATATCACCTCAACCTACTGTTTACATTGCTTCTTCAAATCTATGTTTATAAAAATCTTTTGCAAAGCTATAGTGAGAAGCCTTCAAATTAAAAACTGAATGTTGTTACACCTTTCCTTTCCTTTCCTTTCCTTTCCTTTCCTTTCCTTTCCTTTCCTTTCCTTTCCTTTCCTTTCCTTTCCTTTCCTTTCCTTTCCTTTCCTTTCCCACATAGCAGTCAATGTCTCATATAAGACAGCTGCTACTCAAGGAACTGAGTGAAACTTGCCATGAATATGATCTTAGGGAAGATAAGTCTCTAGGTATGAGTTGATTCTAAGTTCTAGACCCTAATTATTAACCCAGTGTTGAACATATTTTCTATGCTGCCCATGCCGATAGAACTGCACCTTTACTTCAGAATATGTAACGGTACCCATAGACTCATTTGTGATGATTTGATGTTTGCATCCTCCATTACTCTGCAGACCCCAGGAAAGTAGGGGCCATAACCAGTGTTGCTTACCATCATATCCCCAGCCTCTAGTTTAGTGGGTACACAACACTCCATGGAACCCAGTCATTTAAACACATGGCAAGTCCAAAGCCTCACATTCTGTTCCCATTGGTGCTGCCTTATGTGATCTTGAACAAAACATCAAACCCTCTTCCCCAGTTGCCACATTTCACCTTTAACAAGATGCTCAGTGTCTGCCCATTGTGTACATGGAATACAGATGTCAAGAACATAACCATAATGGTCCAGCAGGAAATGAACAAGGAAGAAGCATCAGGGCATTAATGAGCTGAGACTCCCCAGACAATAGCAAGATTGGCTGCAGTTTCTGAGAAAGGTGATTTCTCTAAGTTGATGCATTCTTTGGGGAAAATATAAAGGGAATGAATTTTCTCATGGAAACCCTTTCCTTCCCTGCATCCTCTAAACTCTCACAACTACCACCATCTCACCCTGGTATCACCTCCAACAATTCTAACCCACCATGCTTCTCAGTCTGTCTTGCCTGTGAAGGTTGAAATAAAATCAATCATTCCTACGCATATGTGCAGCTTTATTAATTATACTCTCCAAACACCAGAATTCATATTGTAAAAACTGAGCTTCAGGTGGGGTGGGGATAGTTTTAGTGGCTGAAAGGAGACTTTTCAACAGGGTCTTTAAATCCCATCTATAGGAACCATTGCCATCCTCATGTCAGAGCTGGTCCCCCAAGAACACTATGAAAAACAGCACACAAACCCAGTTCCTACACACCGTTTTGTAGTCAGAACCATCATTTGGACCAGTCCTTTGTCCTAGGACTCAGGTGAGGGAAATAAGATCACATTGGGAGCAAAACTTAAGGGAGTCCCGAAAAGCCTGGTAATCAAGATAACATTTCAATGTAACACCTCATGATCAAAGAGCAAAATTCATGAACAAGGTACCAAATTTTTAATAAGGATCAGTATTATTGAATTTTTTTTCTTTTGCTGTGGTTTCCAATACATATGGTTCAACTCTCTCTCTCACTTCTCTCTATTCTGATAAAAAATACGACCAAAAAAAAAAAAATACCAAGAGTATACACAGCGGAATGTGCAAAGGAGGCAAATTTACGCTAGTGCATCATTCTGTGCTAGGGAAGCACTGTGACCATCAGAACCACAGCATCCAAACTCAGCAGACCTTGCCTCACAGGATAAGGTCTGGAGTGTTACTTTTCGTTTTGGTCTGTTTTCTCTTTCTTAAAAAGTTTGGGTAATTTATAAAGAAAATATTATTATGTAGCTCACATTTCTTCAGGTCCAAGAACATGGCAATAGCATCTGTGTAGCATCAAGTGAATGCTCCATGCTGCTCCATGGGAAAAAGGAAGAAGAAAGGAAGTGGGAGCAGTGTCTGTCAGGGGATGACATGCCTAGAAAAGAAGCAAGAGAAAGACAAGTTTGATTTTACAGTAACTCCCGTCAGTATAGCTAGCCCATCTTTGAGGTAACTACATCAATTCCCTTCAGTGGATGTAGCTCCCATGACCTCATTATCTTTTAAAGAGCCCAACAATCTCAACACTGCCATATTGGGGACTGAGCCTCAATGTGAATTTTGGTGATGACAAACCATATTCAAACCATGACAATTCCCAAAGGTCAATAAAAGGAGGCTGTCATTAGAGAGCTGTGTCACTCTCTGTTGTAACTATGACCATTCTGTACACGGAAAAGGCAGGGCCTTACATAGGGCAGTCACATTTTTCCAAGAACTCACTGACTTTACATACGAAAAGACGGAATTCCTGCAGTGAAACAGTGAAGTCCTCCATTTCTAAACATCCCCGTAGTGAAAAAGAGATACAAACATTATTGATCCGTTTCTATCATTCACAGATCAACTGCTCTGAGATGGAATGAAAAGAAGATGTACAGTGAATTATTATCTGTGCTAAACAGAGAACAGAGTGGGAGGTTACAGAGATGGTTCTGTGCTGAGTTTTGGTTATTCCTGAGCTCTTATCATTCCCTACGGGTCAGCAGGAGAGACATATCATCAGTGCTGTCAATCAGATGGGGCAATAGTAAGGAGTAATTCTGAACTCTACTGAGGGAGCAGGGAAAAGAATCCCAAAGAAGCTATGGTTCCTTAGTTACTGCAAATCAGAAGACATTTTTAGAATTGAAGTTAATCCTTCTTGAAAATAAATGATGAAAGGGGGCCCCTCCTCAATGGAGTGCCTGCACTGCATACAGACGTAGTCAGCCTAGATATTTTCACCCTTTAAAAATGATGTTAGGTAAGGTAGGACTAAGGTCCTCGGCCCCGGTGCCCCAACCTTACTGTTTCCCCTGCAAACTGGAGGCTTAGTAATTCTATCTTACCGTTATTATTTTCCAATCTACTAGAAGATTACTATAAAATTTAAAGAATCGGTTAAAATATCAAGCATGTATGATGGGTAGTAAGTGGATATTCCGTGGGTAGCGATCTTGCACAGTACCCTAATGGGGACTTCGCTCTTCTCCACTCATGTATCTCCGCTGTTTAGGACACTTGTACAAAGTATACATTCAGTAAGTATTTGTTGTATGTATAAAATTTAAGCCAATGAAGACTATAAAACCTTTGCCAATGCAATATTATGATTAGAAGGAGAGTCTCAAGCCTATTAATTCCTGCACTGCAAGAAATTACGCAATAGAAAATGGAAGTACGGGCTGAACATACGACATGAAATCAGTTGCTTCAGCCTCAGTAGGAGATAGAAAACGAAAGTACTACCCCAGCCTCAGTAGGAGATAGAAAAGGAAAGTACTACCCGCTGATAGTGAATACTAGTAAGTAACCTATCTGGGGACCAGAGACGGCTAGCCTGCACTAATACTTCAAAGGTCCCATGAGGAAATGCCTCATAACTGAAGGTGAAGCTGCAGCTATGTACAGCAGAACGTGATTACTTTCTTCATGTGTGTGCTCTCTAATGGAAATTCTGGATATTATCAAAGACCTGAATGCTGATAAACTCCTCACTCTTCCTAGACTGAACTAAACAGACCTGGCCCCTAAAAAGACACTTAAAGGACCAGCGCCCTAGGAGGCAAGATGTGCCTAGTGACTCAGGGAAACGCCATGCCTGGGCCGGGCTGGGCTGGGCTGGTGCTCGCCTAGGCCAAGGTTCACAAACCGGACTCTGAGCAGGGCAAGGCCAGAGAGGCCCACACCGGAAGGCCAATGGGCATCGAGCTAGGGCGGGCCCTGGGGACAGCGAGCCAACGGGCATCGAGCTAGGGCGGGCCCTGGGGACAGCGAGCCAACGGGCATCGAGCTAGGGCGGGCCCTGGGGACAGCGAGCCAACGGGCATCGAGCTAGGGCGGGCCCTGGGGACAGCGAGCCAACGGGCATCGAGCTAGGACGGGTTGCTGGGGTGGTGGTGTGCGCGGCTGCCAGGCTCAGCCCACAGGGCTATGTGGGAGCCCCGGGCTGAGGCGTGCGCGGCGGGGTTCGGGGGCGCTCTCCTCCTGACGCTCTTCGCTCTGGTGCTCCGCCAGCTCCTGAGGCAGAGGCGACCGACCGCTTTCCCCCCGGGGCCGCCGCGGCTGCCGTTCATCGGCAACATCTATTCCCTGGCCGCCTCTGCAGAGCTGCCCCACGTCTACCTGCGGACGCTGAGCCAGGTGTACGGCGAGGTAGGCCGCACGGCCCAGCTCGTTGCGAGGGTAGCCCGCGACACCCCAACCGGAAGCCGCCTGAGCGCGACTACACCTGAGGGCAAGCGAGGCGCTTCCGGTCGAGATTCCCGCCTTCTGGCGGGCACTTCCGCTTTGGTCTCCCGCTGTGGCTGTTGGAAGATGGCTGCCCAGTAGCTGCCTCGTTGCATAAACTGCTAGGCCCTGTTGACTCATAGGTTCCAGTCAAATCTGAGCTCGTGGGAAAGGGAGGCCCTGTGGGTTCTGGGACGGAGGTAGGGGTGGGTGGGAAATTCTTCAGTTACAGCTGAGGAAGGACTGGACCCGGAGAGAACTCAGGTGAAGGCCCAGGCAGAGGTGGGCCCCGGGAAATAGCTTAGTAAGTTGTACGTTTATTTTAAAACGATTTTGAAATGTCAGTGAATGAATGAACAATCAGAACAGGAGTCCTTCAGCACAAAGGAGCCATGTTGGTCTGATTGGTCAGGACGGCCTTGGAGCATGTGCTTAACGCACACCTGCTATGTGCCAGTTCACTGTTCACGTTTTAAAGTTAGAACTGTTAGATTTATGAGAGCCGAAAAAGGAAGGAGTTAAGTTTAGAGATAAGAACCAGAGGAAGATCTGCAACAGCCTCTCTCTGAATGCAGGGAACCCAGCAAAGGGCTAATAAAAGTTGTTCCTCGAGGAATGATTATCTGTACTCTGAAAGGAGAGCTGTCTGGTTTTACATAGGAACTCTACTGCATACAGCTGTCAGAGTTAACTCTGTCCAGGGGCTGGTGTCCTTGAGGGTCTCTTTTCTCAGGAGGCAGGTGGGCTCCACAGTCTCTCTCAGTCCAGGGAGTGACCAGTTGATAAGGCTTGAGTAAGGCCAGACTGTCAATTTAGGGCCAGTTAGACACTTTAAGGAATTTATGGCTCTAGGCTCTTCTCAATTCACATATTCTATCAAGAACTACCCAGTGAGAGAAGTGCTTGTGGTGTTGGTTCCACGTTGTGTACAGGGCAATACTGTGACACCAGAATGCAAAGTGACCAGCAGGAGAAAAGGGGAGAATGTGTTTGTAAGTTCTTATTTCTGGAGGCAGAATTTCCAGAGCGCTGGCCCTGACCAAAGCTCATCTGTTTTTTAATTTCATTTATGGAGTTGTGTGGAACCACCGACCAGGATCGTGTCTAATGCTGGGGCTGAAAACATGAAGAAGGCAGGCACAATAGCAGTTGCAGTCTAGTAGCAGAGAGAAAATTAATTATTGACCAGAAACTGCTAAGTGCTTTGAAGAAAAAACTATAGGGTGCTTAAGAACTGTATTTCAGTTTAGTGCTTAAATCCTTACCTGCTTAATTAATCCTATCTTAATTGTGTTGCAGGTTGGCACTTAAACCGATATTTTTAAAAGATTTATCACTTCAAATAAATTTGGCCTTCTCTGAACCCTAATTTTCCTCCTCTGGGTAATTTAAATATTGATAACCAAAACAAGTGAAGTATTAGTCAAATGTATTGGTTATTAAATATGGTTTCGGTTACTATATGTGAAAGATCCTAGTTTCTTTATTTAGTGGTATTGGGGATTGAGCCTAGGGCCTGGCACATGCTAGGTAAGTGTTCTACCACTGAGATACACACCTATCCCAAAAGAGTTTATTATGCTGACAAATTTTTTAAATTTCTTTTTTTGGTCTTTTTGAGGCAGGGTCTCCCTGTAGTCCCAGCTGGCCTAGAGCGCACTATGTAGGCCAAGCTGACCTTGAACTCACAGAGATCCACCTGCCTCTGCCTCCTGAGTGCTGGGAGTAAAGGTGTATGCCACCATGCTCTGCCCCTAAAATTGTTTTTAAACCAATAACTTGAAATACTTTTTCATAGAATAGGAAATTAAATTTTTTATATATAACTGAGCTGAACCCACGTGGTGGCTAATAATTATCTGTAACTCCTGTTTCAGGAAATCAGATGCCCTCTTCTGACCTCTGTGGGCATTGCACAATGCATTGCATACACTCCTATGCATAAAATGAAAATACTTGAGCTGAAAGGAACTCTTTACTTACTATGAATATTCATATGGAACAAGTGATCTAAGTCTCTTATTACAGTAAGTTAAAATTTACATTATAAGTGTGCTGGAAGACTGCATGCAGGAATATGTTGCTTGGATTCAATGGATAAGAATTTGGCATGAATAATTTTGCTCCTGGTACAGTTTGAAGAAACCATGCCATTCTTTACAATGAAGGCAATTTACTACAGATCAGGTAGGGCTACCCTATGCCAGTAGTTGCAAAAAAGCAAAGGAAGAGCAGAAAGGAGCCAAAATGGAAAGGGATGAGTGCACTGCAGAGTGAGCTTGTGTGCTGGACTTCATAACTGTCCCACAGTAGCTTTCTTAAAGCTGCTGCTGCATTCCATCTTTGTTCTAGTTGTGGAACACCCCTGAAAATCTACTTTTATCTTAGAGCTATTTCCCAATTTTGACAAGGTCTCAAAACTGTAAGTTGTTAAAATCCTAACCTTTTTGTAGAATAGAAAGAGACCATTATTTCTGCTACCACAGAAGATTGTGGAAAGTAGGTTGTAGGACTTGAAAATAGAATCTTATTTTTCCATGGCTCCCTTTTAAATTTGAAATGTATGGTCAAACAACAACAACAAAAACCTGATCCTTAAAATAACACCCACTTTTGTGAATTCAGTCCTATATAATTTTTGAAAGGAAAACAGTGCTCAAGATGAGTATTTATTTTAAGCAACATTATATAGAAATGTAGTGCAGTCATAAAGGGCCATTTCCTGGGAGATTCACTCTGATCACTAAATTTCCGATTACAATCTAGTGTAGATTTTGATCAGCATGCCATGGCCAGCAAAGTCAGTATAAGTGGTTTTGTCAGATTCTTTCAGGCAGTACACTTAAGGGCAGTAAAGACAACTTTTCAATTTATTATATGGCAAACATTGATTGAGAACTTCAATCAAGGGATTGATTGAAGTTCAGTCCCTTCAATCAAGGGATTCTTTGGAGGACTCAGAAAACAATGAAGTGATTTCTTCTAAGGGGCTTGTAATTTAGTAGCCAGGCAGAAGATGAGAATGGTTCTGGTTCAAATTAGTATTAAATGAAGTTGTAGGAGCTCAGAAGCATGAATTGTGATGGTTCAAAGCAAAGAATAAAAGAACATACCACAAAGCTCCATGGAAGACTTGACATGGTCAGATAGAATGACAGTCAAGAAGGCATTCCAAATGAGAAATAGACCTGAGTCTGTACTATAATAATGTGCTTAAATATGTTTCAACCAAAATTTATTCATTCAAAATACATGTCAGTTGTTATTAGTATGCTCTGCACTGTCCTAGGTGTTGGAGGTACAGAGCAAAACAGAGATCTCTGTCCCTATGTAGCTTGCTTTCTGTTGGAAGACAGTCAACGTAAGTATGTTAAGTAATTATATGTTACCATATGTTAGAAGTATATGGAGTGTGCCAGAAGCTAAATTAGGGTAACGGAAATGGAGACTGCTAGAGGGTCAGATTTTAAATTGGTTAATCAGAGCAGGCCTCACTGCAAGAACAGGTTATGAACAAAGACTTTAAAGGTGTTGAGTAGCAGGCTATGAACAACTAGGGAAAAGCACACCAAGAAAAGAGCAAGCACGAAGGCCATGAAGCAATATTATGTCATGTTGAGAATTGCCTACAGAGCTGGATGAAATTAGGCCAGTTAGGAGGTAGTTGTGATGCCATAAAGGAGAAATTCTGCTGGCTTGGACAGAGTATAGAGGTTGTGAAATCCAGATTTATATTATTGAAACAAAATACCCAGGATTAATGGTATGTACTACCCAGTACTGCTTGTCCTCTGATTTTTAGAATCCCTAGTAACCACAGTCTGATGCTTTTCCTTGAAATACAGCACCTCTCTGTTCTGCCTTCGTACTAACACACCTTTCAAAGCCAAAGTTTTATATCATCCTTACGAAGTCATCAATTTGTTTTTTTTCCAGCATCAATACCATTTCTTATTAATTAATGCTATTTTTGTATTATTTCTGCTCACTACTTTTCTGGGACGACTTTCCCTTAATACTGCATTGCTGTTTGGGGAACTGAAAAAATATGTCCTTTGCTTATCTGCTAGTCTTCCCTTTGTGCTGAAATTTCTCCCATTGCCACTGAGAACTACTTCTGTGAGCCTGCTTCTCTGGTCCAGGGCCCATCCAGTGCCAGAGGCTCTGATGGTCCGTTGCTCAGATGCGACTGATTCTGTTTCCACTTGGTAATCTTTATCACTTTGGATGACCTACTTCCAAAGGATTTTGTCCTCAGCTAAGACCTCCTGGTTTTTTTTCGAAGTAGTTTGTACCATGATTAAATCTGCTCTACTTGTTTGCACAAAGATAAGCCTCCTCTCAGTATTTTGGCTGTAAGGAGCTCTCAGGCAGTGCCTGAGAGGAGAGCGATAAGCAGTCTCTGTGACATGCTGATAAGAAAACTTGGCTTTTCACTGGACCAGGTCTTTATGTTAGGTTAGCTAAAACACTACAAGAGGTGTGACTTTGTAAGTGAATCTGAGGTGAGACATGTGGTGTACTGGCTAGTTTTTATTGTCAACTTGATACAACCTACAGTCACCTGAGGAGAGGGAACCTCAGTTGAAGAATTTCCCTGATCAGACTGGCCTGTGGCCATGTCTATGAAAGATTGTCTTGATTGATCCTAGATGTGGGAGGGCCCAGCCTAGGGTAGATCGTACCATCTCTAGGCAGATGGCCTTGGGATATTGTACTGGATAGCTTTAGTGTCAACTTGACACACCTGGGTTGAGGGAGCCTCAATCGGGAAATTTCCTCTATTGGACTGGCCTGTGGCCATGTCTGAAGGGCATCTTCTTGATGAGTGATGTGGGAGGGCCGAGCCCACTGTGGGTGGTGCCACCCCTGGGCAGGTGGGCCTGTGTTGCATAAGAAAGCAGGCTGAGCAGGGGCCAAGGGAGCAAGCCAGTAAGCAGCATTCCTCCATGGCCTGTGCTCCAGCTCCTGCCTCCAGGTTCCTGCCCTGAGTTCCTACCTTGGGCTCCCTGATGAACTGCGTGAGACCTGGGAGATGTAAGACAAATAAACCCTTTCCTCCCCAAGTTGGTACTGGTCAGAGTGTTTTGTCACAGCAATGAAGAACAGACTAGGACAGATATATAAGAAAGCTAGCTGAGAGAGAACCAGAGAGTGGGCCAGTAAGTAGCATTCCTCCATGGCTCCTGCCTTGAGTTCCTGTCTTAACTTCCCTCAGTAATGGATTGTGGCTGGAAGTGTAAGCTGAAGTAAACCCTTTTCTACTTTGTTACTTTTGGTTGTGGTGTTTATCAGAGCAACAGAAATCAAACTAGAATACTTGGCCAACAACCTCTGCAAGGATGAGGATGGTTTATCTTGTTTTACTTTCCCCTTAGCTCAAAGGTATCTACTTTTTTCTAAGCCGTAAATGCCTTTCTTTTAAAGTCAGATTCCCTTAACAGAATTTGATTCAGCATCATGAGATTAATAAAGGCAAATACAGTTGGGCTAATATACTATATGATTTACTGCAAAGTTGTCTTTTGGACCTTTTCCATTGTCTCTCCAACTTCAGGCTGACATAATAGGTAGATGATGCTGGTTGTTCTTTTATCTTGGAAGTAAAAGGTTCCTACATGTTGAATATTTTGAAGTGGAATGAATCCTTTAAAAATATTCAAATCTAATATATTTTCTGTGGCAACACTGAAGCCCAAGAAGTTTGTTTTGCTTTATATATTAAATCTATTTAATGGCAAACTTTAAATTAAACACGGGCCTTCTGTGTCCATTATTCCTTCCGTTACACCATTTATAAGATGGCTTCAGGCATGGAATACAGTGAATCCGCTATCTACACCTTGTCAAGTAACAGATCCTTATATTTCAGGGATGCAGCAAATCCTGGTCGGGCTTAGAAGAGGGGGATTATGCTGGGTTTCCCTATACATTCTGACGTTTGAATGTTGTTTTCCTTCTCTTCTTGTCAAAGATTTTCAGTTTGGATCTTGGAGGCATATCAACGGTGGTTCTAAATGGCTATGATGTAGTAAAGGAATGCCTGGTTCATCAAGGTGAAATTTTTGCTGACAGACCATGCCTTCCTTTATTCATGAAGATGACAAAAATGGGAGGTATGTTTATTTTCAACTATTCAGTGGTTTACCAAACTATTTTAAATCATATTACTCATTTTAAACAGTTGGGGTTCTTTTTTACTGTATGGCACTGGTACTTGAGAAGCTTTCTGACTGCATTCAGTAATATTTTAGATCATTGGCCTTCTATTTTTATTTCAGTCCAGTTCTAATAAATATACGTGATATGTTTTTATGAAATAATTTACAGCTACACATACATGAGAAGTTTCCTTTGAGGATAGTTTTGAGTACTGGGTGACAGGGTGACACACTTGCTATCATGTACTCACACACTAAGAAAAACCGTCCTAACTAATCATCATGCAGCATAAATGGAAAGTTGTAGAGTTTATGTAAAGGACAAGTATTCTGTAGGGCTCCATATTGATCAGATTTGGGTGATTTCATGTTCAAAAAGGAAGAACGGCTGAAAGTTGACCATAATCAATAAGAGAGCAGCAAAAGCAAGCATAAAAGAGAAATGTTGAAATCAGATGTTGGTTTCTTTCTTTTTACAATAATGGTGTTCTAAATTCTGTAATGAGACCACATTTTCAAAGAAAAAAATTGGTAATATCTTGATTAAACAGGCTAAAAGTCACTGAATAAAAAGCAAAAGTTAAAGTCCTTTATTAAATCACAAATACAAAAAAAGCATAAATATAAATTTTTATATTTTATGATATGCGTGTATGTATGTGCATGTCACAGCACGTGTGAAGACCAGAGGACAACTTTGTGGAGTGAGTTCTCTCCTCCCACCTTATGTAGATTATAGGGATTACATTTGGGTTCTTAGCGTCTCACAGCCATCTTGCTGGCCCAGAAGGTACAGATTTTAAAGATCAGATTTTCAGGCCAAAATAAGACATTAAACAATAAATAAATGAAGAGCAAATACATAGCCTATTTTTTAAAAATATATTTTATTATTTTTATTTTATGTGTATGAGTGTATTGCCTTCATGTGTGTGTAAATGCACCCATGTCGTATAGTGCCCCAGAGGTCAGAAGAAGGCATCAGATCCCCCAGAACTGGAGTTAGTGATTCAGGTTGTTATCTGCCATGTGGGTGCTGGGATTCGAACCTGGGTCCTCTGCAAGAGTAGTCAGTGCTCTTAACCTCTGAGCTATCTCTCCAGTTCCACACATAGCCTCTTAAATACTATATAATTAGCTCACTTGCTCACTCTCTTACTCTTTCTGTCTCTTGTTGGTAATTCTTTGTAAATTAGAATTTCTGACTTTTTTGCTCACTGATAAATCTCCAACATTTTAGAATACTGCTTAGAGCATAGTAGGTGCCCCATCAATAAGTTTTGACTATTATTAATAGTCATCTAGTAATCCAGAAAACAAGAATGGACTATGGGTGGATAAGGTGGTTACAGTACAGACCCCTTAACTTTTTAATAAGCTCCAATTTAACAAAAAAAATTCCACAAAGACTATCAATTTTTGATGTCCCTCATGTCTACAAAAGAATATGATAATTTTGATCATAGGTAAATCAATGGCCCAGTGGTAAGTAGAATCCCAAGTACTTGTTTATATAAGTATATGCACTGAACTTAGTAGGTTTTAGTTCCTTTGATAGTTAATGGGGAAAGTGTCCATAATACTCATTTCAAATCAACAGTTATACTGTGTGGATTCTGGAATTTTGTGGCAAGTAATCCTAATATTAGCAAATTTGGAATTCATGTTTTTCCTTTTCTTTTTAAAACTATTTTATTTATTATTTTTATTTTGTGTATATGAGTGTACTGCCTGCATGGATGTAAGTGCACCCATATCATACAAAGCCCACGGAGGTCAGATGAGACATTGGATCCCCTGAAACTGGAGTTACAAATGGTGGCTAGCCACCATGCAGGTGCTGGGAATCGAACCTGGGTCCTCTGCAAGAGCAGCCAGTGCTCTTAACCGCCCAGCCATCCAGCCCTACATGATTTTCCTTTTCAAACTATTGAGCATTTCTACTACATTGATACTTCACTCAGGCAACCCTTGCCTCTACTAGTTACCTTATTGTCTATCATTCCTTTAACACAAGGAAATCTGCTGTAAAAATCTAGTCTTTTTCAAACAGAAACTTTCCAGTCCTAAAGGCATGATTTTGTAGTGTTTAATTCAGAATAAAATTTTGCTCATAGAACTTACAGTCATTTGTCTTTTAAGTCAGGTGTATGAGAAAGTTGAATGACAAATTTATCTAGGCCTAGTTCACCTGTGTTTGATTATGTAAGATTTGATAGTTTCTTGTGGTAGGAGAAGTGTGGGTCTTCTCTGCTAGTCTTCATGCGAGAAGGCAGACTTTAATACTCTATGGCTGATGAGACGTAGGGACTAGGATCCAATCATCTGTCTAGACAACTGGGAGAACATCTCTTCCTGTCCATTTGTATTCTTCTCCTTTTTTTAGTTTTTTTACTCCATAGCATTTTCATCCATTAAGTACAGAGAAGTATTAATTACAGGATATTTTTAATACTTTTTTTTAGGCTTACTCAATTCCAGATATGGCCGAGGATGGATTGATCACAGAAAATTGGCTGTTAACAGCTTTCACTATTTTGGATGTGGTCAAAAATCTTTTGAATCTAAAATCTTAGAAGAAACTCAATTTCTCATTGATGCTGTTGAAACATACAAAGGTAGAGATTTTGACTTCAAGCAACTAATAACAAATGCTGTTTCAAACATAACTAATCTGATCCTTTTTGGAGAACGACTCACTTATGAAGACACTGGCTTTCAGCGCATGATTGAGTTATTTAGTGAGAATGTGGAACTAGCAGCCAGCGCCTCAGTCTTCCTGTACAACGCATTTCCATGGATTGGCATCTTACCTTTTGGAAAACATCAAAAGCTATTTAGAAATGCAGACATGGTCTATGATTTCCTCTCTAGACTTATTGAAAAAGCTTCAGTCAACAGAAAGCCTCAATTACCCCAGCATTTCATTGATGCTTATTTAGATGAGATGGATCAAGGTAAAAATGACCCTTTATCTACTTTCTCCAGAGAAAACCTCATTTTCTCAGTGGGTGAACTTATCATTGCTGGAACCGAAACTACAACCAATGTTCTACGCTGGGCTATTCTTTTCATGGCTCTTTATCCTAACATTCAAGGTGAGGCATCTCTTGATCTCAGGGTTACATACAGGGCTCATATATGTTTTAGAGTGTTTGGCTGTAGAAAGCATTTTTAGGAACTCTGGCTGTGCTAGCCAAGAAGAGAAATATTTCATAATTATAGAAAGTTTTCCCAAACTAGTATCTCAATATTCATGAAAAAATAAAGAAAACCCATCTGAAGGCCAGGCCTGCTGATGTATCCCTATAACCCTTGCACTAAGGAGGCTGACGCAGAATTTCAGATTTGAGGCCAGTGTAGGCTGTATGGTATGATCAAGGCAAACCTGGGCTACAAAGAAAGGTCCTCTCTTAAACAAATGAACGAAACAACCCTAGATCAATCTCATGGGGCTAGAGAGATTGCTCCGTGGTTAAGAGCACTGGTTTCTCTTGCAGAGGACCTGGATTCCATTCCCAGCACCCACATGGTGGCTAATAACCAGTTGTAACTACAGTTCCAAGGGATCCAATGCCCTCTTGTGGCCTCAGAAGGCATTGCATGCATGTGGTGCACTTACATACCTGTAAGCAAAGCATTCATAAACATTAAATAAATTTGAAAATTTAAACCCTTGATCTTATTATGCCTGTTTTCTAAATGACTAAAAAGGCTGCATGTCTGGAAGTGGCAGAGTGGGAATCTGAACTCTGCCTTTTCTAATTCCAGTATTCTGTTTCTTGCTAACAGTGATGGTACATTATAATTTTAGGCTTATTTCACATGTTTTTTTTTTAATTTGATTTTGTTGAATTTTTGTGTATTTCATATAGAACATCTCATTCAATCTTAATCTTCTTTATGCCCCCATCCCCACTGGCACCCTCCATAGCCCCTGCACTGGAATTGATACTTTGTCATTTGTGTTAAGGCCTAGTGTGTCAAATTAGTGTTCCCAGACATTACTCAGTACCAGTTCATCTACTCAGGTCTAGTCAGCATATCTAGAGTCCCTTGCTTTAGGAAAATCAACTCTTCCTCACCCAGCAGTAATCAGTTGCCAATATTTTTTCAGTTAAGATTGCAGTCTGCTGTCCATTTCCCCAGCCCCAGCTCTATGCTGGGTTTTTGTCTGCTCAAGTTTGCATGGGACTTGTGTATGCCTACTGTAGATTCATATGAGCAGGGTCCCAGGAGCTTGTAGGACTCTATTTCTATTGGTTGTGCACCTCCTCCCTGGCTCTTACAATCTTTCTGCCCCCTTTTCCTCAATGGTCCCTGAGCCCTGGGTGGGTGAAATTTAATATAGGAGTCCTGTCCAAGGACCAGCTTTCTGCAGCCTCTTAATCTCTACATTTTGGCCATTTGTGACTTTTTGTGTTCCTGGTCCTCTGTTTCATGAGGGAGCTTCATTAATGAGAGCTGAGAGATTCATTAGTGACCTCTTTATCCCTGTTCTATTTTCTGTGAGCCTTAAGTGAGGTTCCATTGTAGATGTATTACTTAGGTCTGGACACTTCATAGACAATGTCTGTGTGCGACCAGTTGTGGTGCATGGTAATAGTCTCCATCTGGTGCAAAAGAAGCTTCTTTGGTGACAGCAGTATTTGTCTGTAAATACAAGGATATATATTTTGCACATAGTAAGAAATTATATTAGTCTAGGGATGTGACAGTCTTGGGGTTTTCTCTAAGATCTATGACCTCTCCAGCCATGTGTGTTTGGTTATATTTACAGCACCACACTTGGGTTTCCTCCCATTGAGTGGGCTTTTAGTCCAATTAGGTAGCTGTTGATTGCCCCCAAATTCACATTTATTCTTAATCTTTTTACTTTTTACCTTACCAAGAGTATTAGTTAATAGTAATACAAGATATATAGTTTATAGTTAACTCTCAGATAATGTAAAATCCAAATCTAGATATACTTGGTATTTTGTTGATTTATAATAATTTATTATACCCCAAACAGAAATAAGTTTACCTATCATTTTAAGAATTGTGTAATAATGTGAACACTTTCCTCTGACAGGACAAGTTCATAAAGAGATTGATTTAATTATGGGCCCCAGTAGAAGGCCTTCTTGGGATGACAAACGCAAAATGCATTATACTGAAGCAGTTTTGCATGAAGTTTTAAGATTCTGTAATATAGTTCCACTGGGGATTTTTCATGCAACCTCTGAAGATGCAGTTGTACGTGGTTATTCCATTCCTAAAGGCACAACAGTAATTACAAATCTTTATTCTGTACATTTTGATGAAAAATACTGGAAAGACCCAGACATGTTCTATCCTGAGCGATTTCTGGACAGCAATGGATATTTTACTAAAAAGGAAGCTTTGGTTCCTTTTTCTCTAGGTAAGAGAGCATTTATACATATATAACTTTAAAGTATAACAGTGATTTGTCATTTATAGAATCTTAGTCTGAAATATCCTGCTCTAGACTATCCAATTCTGAATACCTAACATTAATCCTTGCAGGAGAGAATGGTTTGGTTAAAGTAATGAGCACCTGTTTCTATTCAAAGTAAACCTTACTTAAACAGAGGAAAATTGTTGAGAAATTGTAGCTACTTCTGAAACACTTTTGCCTGTGAATTTTGGGTTTGCTGTCAAACTTCTAGAGCAAAGAGATAGTAACAGGTATCTTGAGAAACTGAAACCTAGAGAAAGGAAAGCCTTGGCAACTTCAAATGAAGCTAGAATGTTGTCTTCTTGCCTTCCAGTTTGCTACATCATCCCTAACTAGGTAATATCACTTCTGGGAGACAGGACATTGATCACAGAGCTTGGAAGATGAACTGCAGACTCTTCCTCATCACTGAGAAAAATACACTTTGGTCAATTGAAATGGGCTTCCCTTGAGTATGTAAGAACAAAACATCACATCTCAAAGATCTCCCATAGCATGTCTTAGGCTACATTGCATTACGCAAGGGAAGTCAGAGTTAGGAGCAGAGTCTTAGACTAAGTTTGTGATCTGACATAAGGAAGTAAAGTAGTAGGTTTCTGAGACTAAGTGCTAGTTTCTGTTCTTTGACATTTTAAGAATTCTTTCATGAAGATAATGTCTTCTAACCTACTTTAAATTCCAGATTTCCTGAATGACAACCAAATATTAAATAATTAATTTTAGTGAATGTAATCTTAAGGCTTATTTTATTTGCCTTTTCTGTCTAGGGAGAAGACACTGTCTTGGAGAACAGCTGGCTCGGATGGAAATGTTCTTATTTTTTACAGCATTGCTTCAGCGATTTCATTTGCATTTTCCACATGAACTAGTTCCAAATCTAAAACCCAGGTTAGGCATGACATTGCAGCCCCAATCCTATCTCATCTGTGCTGAAAGACGCTGAAAGTGCAGAAAATGTAGTGGAATCAATATTGGTGTTTGGATCAAAGCCACAGTTTTATAAAACTGAACGAGCACAGTTGTGTTGTTAAAACAGCACTAGAGCAATAATGAGGATCAGCTAGGATCCCTTTTCCAACTTCAATGAATTCTATTGTAGGATTCTCTGTTGAGGAACATTATGTTACACTGATGCTAAAAAGGGCCATGGATCCCTTTAAACAGAGCTGCTTGTTTAGTATAATGTTCCTCTCACCTGGCTCCATCCCGGACAACTTTGCTTCTAAGTACTGATCCTTTATGATCAGGTATTGGGATCAGTTGACTGTGGTATCAGTCCAGGACTAAAGAAGAAAGTAAAACCCAACTAAATGATTGTGGGCTACAGAGGTATTTAAAATATGAAAGTATATTTAATGTGGACCCTTCCAGTGCTTTCAAATGTTGCTGTTCTTAAGAACTGTGCATTCTTCCTAGAAACAGGCTCTTTGATCCCTGAGCATCCATTCTTATAGCAGCAGGCCAGTGAGTAGGAAGTGACAATATATGTTTGGAATAAAAAATGATTCATGACTATTGATTCTTTCTTCGTAGGCACAGGCATTACATTTTTCCTGGCACCACTTCTTACTAGAACCAGCTGCAGTGCTCAAAGATTCAAACATCTTATCTTTAAGAAAGCATTAGGTAATTACATGGGTTAGTGCTCTCACACTTTCTAAAGATATCAATATTCAGATCCAAAGACCTCCTATGGAGACATGGAAAGTTGTAAAATTGAAACATTTGAGGATGTTGGGACACTGCTAAGTATACCAAGACAAATTGATATACTGATTGGCCAAAGCAAACAGGAATGTATATTTGCTCATTTATAGCCATTTTTACATTATCATTCTTCTAAAGTTGTACACTAACCACCCATGTCCTTGTAACTTGGTTTATGAACAGCTGCAGCCTTAAAGTACCCATAACAATGGCTTGTATTAAGACTATAGATTGGGGGCTGGAGAGATGGCTTAGTGGTTAAGCGCAAATGCTACTCCTGCAGAAGACCTGAGTTCAGTTCCCAGCATCCACATCAGGTGACTCACAAATATCTGAAATTCCAGCTCCAAGGTAATCTGATACCTCTGCCTTCTGTGGGCACCACACCTATGTGCACATATCCACCATCTCACACAGACACACACACACACACACACACAAAGATACACACACACAATTAAAAGTAATCTTTTAAATAAAAAGACTGAATTTAACCTTAGTTTGGTTATTATCTACTAATTTTAACTAGTTTCTCTGGTACAAATCAGGAGTTTTGGTATCTCTGATGTATTAAGATGCTTCTGTTTGCAAAGAAAGTCTTGTGAAAATTCACTAAATAATAAATGAAAATTTAGAGGTAATGTGGAAGTTTTAGGGTTGGGATAGCCTACATGCTTCATGGTATGACCTAAGTTTGTCTTCCAGATGATCACAGCTTTTTCTTCAGGCTAGTTTATGGGAATACATGTGCTCTGCCACTGCCACGCAAAGAGCAGGTTTCAATTGTTTCTTGAGGTATGTGGAAATTTTTCTTTTTTAAATTTTTATTTTTTATGTGTATAAACATTTTGCCTGCATGTACATAAGTGCCACATGCATGAAATCCCCAAAGATGCCAGAAGGTTCAGATCCCCTTGAAATGGAATTGCAGGTGGTTGTTAGCCACCAGGTAGGTGCTGGGAACCAAACCCAGATCCAGTGTTTTTCACCACTGAGCATCTCTCCATCCCCGGGGAATTTTTTTATAACCCCAGGAAACTCTTATCTTCCAGAGATCCTGAGTCATACATGTGCATACATTAACTGTACTGTGTTTTGTCTTTTCCCAAAGTATGTGCTATATGAGAGTGCAATAGTTGTCCAAACAGAAACAAGAAACTGAAGGAAGGAGGGATTATGAGTCAGACCAGTCACAGTGCCCACCTCATCTGCTCTCTGCTTTTCTACTGTCCTGAAGAGCAGATGCGCTGCTCAGGCTGCTTCCTAATCTGTTTGTTCTTTGACATAGCAAATCTCTTTCCATGGCCTCCTCCTTACTATAATATGTCTTTCCAAAAAAGTTGAATTCTATAATCTGGAGGTTCTACAGACTTGGCAATCTTACTGAAAAAATATCTTCATAAAGTGCATTGTAGTAAAAATTAAGTAGGCTTCATTTTGCTTTTGATCAGCAATTCCATAAGCCTACACATGCTATTTTGTTTACCTGTGCCTTAGGAAATATTCATAAGTTGTCTTACTCAGGTGTATGTGAACCTTACAAAAATCATAGAAGATATAAATTCATAAACTATTAAAGAGAGCCTTAATCTCACTTAATGACCTGTTCTATAGCCATTGAGTTAGGGGTCCAGACAGGAGAAATAATTCCTCTAGGTCCTGACACAGACATGCCTTATTTCATCTTATGTTCTTTTTATACATGATAGGCTTTATAATATTCAGTTGGTTTTCATATAATATCAACTCTTGACCATTTAAATCCAAGTAACTGGTAAAATACTGAATTTTACAAAAACACAAATTAACATAAACTACAAGGTAATACACAATAGGAAATATCTTACATAGTGACAGATCCATTAGACCTATGCAGTGACAATGCCTTCTCTCTCACTAGACAATAATGACCTACCAATTACAATGTTGAAAATATAATTTCTGATTCAACTGATGGCAACTGAGCATGATTATTTCTTCTTACCTCCATTAAAGTAACCTTGGGTACAGGAAGGGGTGTGAGGGCATTGATAATGGGGTGGAGGGCAGTATCAGTATCAGGTACTTTCAAGTTCTGCAAGAAAGAGGGGAGAAGAGAGGGGAGAAAATGCTGAAGGAGGTGTGGAAAAGAACATACAGCCACAGCCTGCTGTGGACACGAGAGCACATGCTTCACAGGAAAGCGTGGAGACCACTGGTCCATGAAGAGGAGGGTAGTTAAAGCAAAAGTGGGAAGAAAGCAAGCTGGCTGTTCACCAGGCAAGTAACGGAAGAGAAACCCTGCCTTATCCCAACTCTGCTTTTCCCACCTAGTGCTGCAGCTGTAGAACTTGCCCCCAGAATTGAGTACTAGCCAAGAAGATAGCACTCTCCTATGTGGGATTGGTGTCCTCAACTGGGTACCATCTAATCTGATCTGATTTACAACCTAAAGTTCTGTACCACCCAAATACAAAAGAGGTGTGAATGCACATTTCACTGACCAAAATAATTGGGAAAGCATCAGCAAATGAAATGAATTAGCATTGAGTGCTGAATAAATTTAACTATGGAACTAAGACAAAGTGAATTAACTGTGAGAAGATTATGTACATACTTTATATTCCTGCTAAAATGAGAAAAGACAGAACATGAGCTCTTTGCTTCATGTGACTGTACCTCGCTCGTAACCCATTGTAAAGTAAATCGAGACTGTTCTCAGTTGAAGCATTTATTACATGAAACCTACTGAATATCACAGTTCAGCAGCAAAGTAGATTTTAGAGTTATTCGTTGCTTATTATCGTGTGGGTACTGGGACCTGCAGCTTGCTACTACTGCCCAGGGTCACAAGAATCTTGCCATGTAACACTAGCCTAGGGAGAAAATTCCAAAGTATGGTGTTTGCTCAGTACATAACACTTCACGAAACTGAAAACATTTTAAGTCAGGGATCATCTATGCTTTAAATGGACAGTAGAAATTTAAGCATATTTAGCAGCACAAAAGTTAAGGGCAATATTGCTTAAAATTAAGTGCTAGAGGAAAGGAACTGATTTTTGGTTATTCATAGAAAAGCAGCAGACTAAGGAAAAGAGCATCTAAAGGTGAATGGAGATGGTCCCTGGATGTATAAATTTTCACACTTATTGGGAGAAATGCCTGTTTAAAGAAAAGATGAAGTGATGTGGAGAACTGAAGGCCCTACATGCTAGATAAATGAATACTGGACTAGCGTACCTTTTTAAAAGTTGTAAGACTGGATCATAACCAAACCAAGTATTGTATAGAAGAGGTATCCAAAAAGGTTTAACCTTTAAAGGTTAAAATTCAGAGGCTAGAACTGAGCATGGTAGCACACACCTTTATTTCCAGGGTTTAGGAAGTGGAGGCAGTAGCACCTGGAGTTCAAGGTCAGCCTCAGCTACATAGTTTGAGGCTAGCTTGGGCTACATGAGCTCCTATCACGAACAAAAATTTTCAAAGGGCAGGTGAAGGCATATTAAATATAAAGGAAACTGGAGTCATAAATTTAACGAAGTAGAATACAAGCCAGAGATCATATACAAGATAAAGGTGTGCACTTTATATAATAATCTCCAAACGTAGTCCATAAGGAAGCTGTAATGGGGCACCAAATACAGCAGTTCAGAAATCAGTCTTCACTGCTCCCACTCTACGGCAAGTGGATGAAAAAAGACAGTATGGGGCTGGGGTGGCACAGTTGGTAAAGTGCTCACGGTGCAAGTATGAGGTCCTGAGTTTAGTCCCCAGAATCCACATAAAACAAGTCAGTGTGGTGGTGTACATCTGTCACCCCAGCACTGGGGAAGCTAAGTAGGTGGATTCCTGGGGCTGGGTGGTCAGTTAGCCTGGCCTACTTGGTAAGTACCAGGCCAATGAGAGACCATCTCAAAACAGTAGGATGAATAGTACCTGATGAGTAACACCAAGATGTCCTGGCTTTTTATGTGTGCAGAGGAGAACACAGATGACCTATACATTACTGGTAATGTGGAGCTGATGAGTATCAAGTTCTGTACTACTTTTACAAGTGCCTTGAAAAGTTCATGAAAATTAGGCATATAATGAACCAAAAGTAAATAAGTTCCAAAAGCATGAATAATACACATTTTTATGAAGATGGGGTTTAAAAACAAAACCAGAAAACAAAATTGAAGGATTTGTAAGGAATCATTTTTAAAACTGCATATGAGGGACTGGAGCAATGGCTCAGTGATTCAGAGCATTGGCTGCTCTTGCAGAGGACCTGAGTTTGGTTCCCAGCACCCACGTGGCAGCTAACTGCCCATAATTCTAGTTACAAGGGACCCAATGCCCTCTTCTGACCTCCACAGGTATTACATATTACACGACACCCTTGTTCTACACATGCAGGCAATACACTCATACACATAAAATCTGAGGAAAACAATTCACAGACTTGGTACTCTTTTTAAAAAGTGAAATGTTGCCGGGCGTGGTGGTGCACGCCTTTGGTCCCAGCACTCGGGAGGCAGAGGCAGGCTGATCTCTGTGAGTTCGAGGCCACCCTGGTGTCCATAGTGAATCCAGGCCAGCTGCAGCTACAGAGAGACCTTTTCTCAAAAAGACAAAAAAAAAAAAAATAAAATAAAATAAATGTTTAGACTAAGCACACCATTTTTTTTTTAATTAGAAAATAACCCAAGATAGTGGAAGTTTAAAAAAAAACAGGAATTAATGTTAGGCAACAGGGAAATAGAATATTTTGCATCTTTAAGAAAACAGATCTAGTGTTCAAAAATTACCCTGAATCTGGCTTGCCATCTATTTCATATGGATCATAACCTAAAAATGGTTCTTACACTTTTAAATGGGTGGAGGGAAGCATTAATATTTTGTCACATAAGAATTTTATTTTCAAATTGTGTTCAGAACTTTATATTGGGACACAGAAACACTTTTCATACATTCTTTAGAGCTGCTTTTCATGCTGTAATGGTGAAAGAGGCCCTGTGTGACCCATTCACTCTTCACTGTCACTTAGCATCCTACAAGTCGGTGTCCACAGTATGTTTCCAACTCTCAGATTGTATTACCAATGCATAACAAACCAGTCAAACAAAAATTTTGTGGACCACGCCTCTAAGGCACAGTAGTTTATAATTATTTTATTAACCAAATGTGACACACGATTATGTTTAATATGTAATGGCATTATAGCTCTTTTTTAAAAATGTGTTTGGGATTACCAGTAATCAATCGTCACCATATTCCCAACACATGAAAGCAACAATCATGATACCGGAATTTCTTCACACACACACACACACACACACACATGAAAGTGAAGTTGCGTAATTTTCCAAAAATCATTTACAGTGAGTTGTGCTTAATTGTAGCAGCCAATGAAAAATACACTTAATACTAATAGACTTTCACTGTGAATAGTGGCTCAGAATGTGGAGGACATTGGAACCTCAAGTCAGTTAAAAAACTAAGCAAATGGTTTTGAGTGGTTCTGAGGCAGGGTAGAAAGGGATATTATGAGGGTATGAGAAGGAAAGGAGACCTTTGCCCCAGAGTCTGGCTGAAACCTCTTACCTGCCATCAAGAATTCCTGCACAATGAACATTTGCTGTGACATTTGCCAACATAGATACAATATTTTTTTATGCAGAGATGTTTTCTAAGATTTTACTTAAACTTTTTAAAATGATGTATTGGGGGGGCTGGTATGTGCATATGAGTGCAGGTGCCTGAGGTGACCAGAAGAGTTAGGCATAGGATCACCTGGAGCTAGAGTTACAGGCAGTTGTGAGCCACCCAATGTGGGTGCTGGGAACTGAACTAAGGTCCTGTACAAGCGCAGTACATGCTCTTAACCACTAATCCATCTCTCTAGCTTCTACATATGGGTATTTTCGAATAAGAATGTTAAAATAGCAGTGAATCATGCTTAAGGCCTAGGCATGTAAGATCTTTTTCCTTTCCCAGCTGTAAAACTGGTTTTCTAAGAATCTCACAAGAAACTCCATTTAGAGTAAAAGACAAGTCTCAGCCTTTTTGTGTAACCTGTTCTGACCCCCCTGATTTTATCATCAAATTGTAATCTCATCCAAGACATCTCCAGTACCACCCAATAATCTCATTTTCAAAAAAAGAGGGAAAAGAGGAGGGGAAAAGTTTCTTAAGTACTCTTTGAAATGTTAACATTAGAGCCTCCAAAGTGGTATTCATGTTACTGCTAGGCCATTCAGGTACACCTCTTCCTTAAAGCCCACACTCATACTTGGATGTGTCATACTTTCCCTGAGTTGGGTGCCTCCCAGTTAAACCACAGGCTTAAATCATGTTAAAAATCCCTCTTTAGGGCTGGGTGTGGTGGTGCACATCTTTAATTTCAGCACTCTGGAGGCAGCAGCAGGTGGATGTCTGAGATCAAGGTCAGCTTGGTCTACATACTAAGTTCCAGGCCAGCTGGGGCTAGAAAGACCCTATTTTCAAAACAAGACAAAAAACCTCTAATAAACCCCAACTCTGCTTCATACTGGCTCATCTTGAAATGCTTTTCTGCAGCTAGTCAAGGACCCAGCTCTACTTGAGTGAGGTCCTTAAAAAAGGAAACTCCTCAGGCTGGTGGTGGGAGTTCCAGACCATGTCTCCTACTGCACTGTCATTTAGTTTTCCTCAGCTACTGCTGAATAAACAGGTATCAATACTACTACGTTGTTTGCTAAAGGAGTCAAAACCATTTTAAGTGACCTAAGATTTAGACTCTACAATTTACATGTATACTGCAAGACAGAATATTTTCACAGATGAGCTACTACTTCCGTGCAGCATGAAGTGCAACTTCGCAGAATGTTAAAACTGATAGTGACATTTACATCGAACAATGCACTCAGTTCTGTTATGGGAAGGTGCGTTATTTAATTTCTCATAGTACCAGAAGCCTACCTTGTTGAGTTTCTAACATTTTTAACCTGTGGTATTCTGGCTTTTGTCCCATTCAATTAATGGGAGAAATACTCTGTGCAAATGGTACATGTGATAATGTCTTGCTTAAAATTGGAACATTTTCAGACTTTAATTACTGGCATTATTCTATCCTTCAGGTAGTATTCAGCATGCACAGCATACATCCCCGGTCATGCCTTGATTTGTTTTGGATCTCATTCTGTAGCCCAAGCTGGCTTCAAACTCACTGTAGCCCAGGCAGGTTTTGAACTTGTAATCTTCCTGCCTCAGCTGGCATTACAGAAGAGAGAGAGAGAGAGAGAGAGAGAGAGAGAGAGAGAGAGAGTTTGTGTGCGCACATACATGTAGTGTGTAGTTCCATGTGTGGAAGTCAGAGGAAAACTTTCAGGCATTCTCTCTTTCGACCATGTGGGTTGGTTATGGAACTCAGGCTGGGCAGCAGGTGCCCTTTACCTGCTGAGCCATCTCACTGGTCCTCAAATTTCCTTCCTGAAAGATGCTTTTACCTTGGCTTCTATCAAATTATTCTTTTTCTTCCTATTTCTACAGCAATTTTCGCTTAGGTTTCCTTTTCCATTTAATTGTCTCACAATTCTTAGTCTTATTCTTCCCAGGAAAATACATCATGACTCCACCCTGTGGTTTTCATTATCAAATGTTTGTTGTTGACATCTGAATCCACACATCTAGCCCACATCTCTCTTCTGAACTCCACACCTATACTGAAATACACTGGAATCTAGAATCTACCAAACCTTTCAATCGGAGTTCCAATCTGAATTCATCTCCTTACCTTCTACCACATCCAAAATGTACTGCTCTTGTGATGTGTTCTCAGTAACAGACGTTGAGATTTTCCAAATCAGAAATCCAATAGTCACCCTCACCACCTTCCTCTCTACCCTATCCAATTGCCAGGGAAATTGATTCTGTGGCTTAAATTCCAAGACCATTCATTTCTCTTTTATACAATCTATCCTAGCCATGATGCCTCAGATCTCCCTGTTCCTAAATCTTCTAGTCCGGAAAGAACAAAAATTAGAGCTTTAAAAAGAAAAATTGTAACACATTTAGTTAGAGGCTTTTATTTGCAATATATAAATCAGGGCAGCCTCCATTCTACAAAATACAGAAAGATCGCTCCACCACTGTGGCAGGACAGTGGGCTTTTGTAAGGAGGGAACAAGGAAACAGAGCAACAAAAAAGAACTACCTGGTTAGCAGAAGGTTCCTTCTTTATTTAAAGTTAAAACACAGGAGACTCCCTTATTGCACTGTCAGAAAAAGTCTGTTGGTAACTTGTTTTCTTAAAGTTTCAGATTGACTATGCAGCATTTAGGAAGAGTGATTCCATTTTTGCTTTGTCTACACTGTTGGAGCTAAGGGTGAGATGGCTTCTTAGAATTTTTAACAGTTCAAGACAGTATGATAGTGATCCCCATAAAACAGAATCTTTGGTTCCCTATTTCCTTGGGGGTGAAGTTTAAAGGGCAGGTCGTGCTTTACCAGAGACTTCACCACCACCTCTCACCGAGTATTTCCACTTACACCTGGTGTTCCAGCCACCCTAAATCTTTTGGCCTCTCTAATGTGGAGACGGTTTCTTCTCCCTGGCCTCTGTACATGCTGTCTTTCGCCCTCACTCCAATCCTATCCCAGCTAACTTACTTCAGTGCTGAGCTCAGAGAGCTCCATGCTCTGAGAAGCTTTCCATCAATGCATCGCCTGTCATGGCTATGCCACACACCCTTCAGAGCTGTTCACAGCCTGGCAACTACAGTAACGGAACCAGAGAGAATGCTATTCACCATATCTTTTGACACGTTTGTTCCTGTGAGATGTAATCTAGAGGGAATTTCTGACTAAGCAGTGCCAGACTCTCATACAAATAAGCAGACAAGGCTCACAGCAAAAAGAAAGTGAGAATAGCAAGAAACAGCTTTCAGATAATGAAGTAACTTCAAAAGATAGGTTTCTGTGGAGAAAAAAGTGACAGTAAGCACACAGATATTTATAGTGACTTACAATAATAGCAGACTCATGATTAAAATTCTAGTAACAATCTGATTCCAAAGCAACCAGAATAAGACCTGTAATATAAGCTGGAGGTATACAAGGGCAGAGTGCTTACACAGCAGGCAGGGAGTCCTGCGCTCAATCCTTAGCACATCCCCCACAAAAGACATAATATAGCTTATGATGACAGTTCCTCAAGTAAGACTGTCTATAGGAGTCTGTGTACTTAATATATATATATGCTCAGTCATGCCTTATAATCATGAACCTTAACATTTAGCATGGATACTTTGACTTATGTCTACTAGGCAAAGGTTAAGAAATTTAAGGATAATTTTCAAATTAGTTCCCTGTAATTTAAAATAAAACGTGCACTGAATTTTTATGATTTTCATACAGTAATACGATATCTACATCCCCTTCCCTACTTGCACTTCCCCTTACTGCCCCCCATTTAATGTATTCTATAAATAATGTCTATAGAGTCTAATCTGTGACCCCTGTAAAATTTTTAGAAAAAAATGTGCTTCTTTCAAGAAAATAGAATTTAAAGTAAATTATTTCAACAGAAAATTTAAATAACATAATGGCATCGAAATTTGATTCTCATTATACATGTTTGTACATGTATGATCTTATACACGTATTTGTTTTTGTAGAAAAGGAAGTAGTAGCATAAATACATTTATATAAGATGTAAAATAAATGTTAGAGAAATATAAGCACAGGGTGTGTGTGTGTATATATATATATATATATGTATGGAAACTCAACAGATTATCAGTTAAAATTTTATTACTTACTAATATATGGTGGGACCAGTTTAATAGTGCAATAATGGTAGCAAAAGTGGCAGGAAGGGGCTCAACACTCCACATTTAATAAATAAAGCTTAGTGCATCATTAAATATTATGATAACCTGCAGGATCAAAAACCCCAACACTTCAATAGATCTCTGAATGCCATCTTTCAGATGACTCAGATGTTTTAGGTCAGAAGGGAATGGCGAGCATTAAGCTATCAAGGAACTACTGAAAATTAATAGCTCACTGTCCACAAAGCTGCATGGCTCCAAAATATTTTATGGTCTTGAAGAATGAAAAACAAAGTTTGGGCTGGTTTTGTTTATAACCTTAGAACTATTTTTTTGCAATTATGGCACATATCTACACTCTAAAGGTTTATAAAAACTATAAATGTGGTCTGTTTTCTTTTCCAGCATCTTCATTAGGAGGTTATTTATATGCCTTGTGTGAAATTACTTATTAGACTATTTAAAAATTTTTATATAAAATTTAAAGATGTATTCCCATCATTTACTTCTGAACTTAGTCTTTCAGCTGGGTTCTAGTACTGCTAAGTAGTGCCAGGTCGTTTTTACCACATATTCTCAAAGAAGAAAGAAATCAACAAAAATATTGTCAGTTTTAGTATAACCAGACACTAGGACACAAGGCACGTAAGATACAGATCTAAAGATGACCACAAATCTCAATGATTTAGCTACTATATACGTCCATTCAAACTCATTGTTTCTTTGGTTCTTTATCTTTGATGGGATTAGTTTCATTTGGTTTTGCATTAAGGCAAAAGGCAGATATCTCTTTTTTCTTGGTTTTAATTAGTCTCAAATCCATCTGAGAAGAAAAAAATGATGCTCATTTCATAAATGGCTAACAATATTAGGACAATTTTTTCTTCTGGAAAAATCTATGTTATATTTATAACTACAAGTTCAAAATTACTAATCCTGAGCAAGAATAAAAGAACAGTTTTGACTACAGAATAATTTCCTTCATTGTTAAACACATTTAAAATTCAACCGTGGAACACAAGTCAGTAAGACCAGAATTAGACTTCTGATGTCCATGGCAAACCTGAATACTCTAGGCAGAAATAAAACACACATAGTAGATTATACACAACAATAAAAAGCATCAGAAATTGATGCACCTGGATTTTGTTAAATATAACAAAGGTCCTCAGTCCTTCGTGTTTAAACCTGGCTGAGAGAATCATACTGCACAACACATTGCATTGAGCAGGGATCCCTTAGAAAGGCCACAATGGATTCTTTTTTGGATTAGACACAGAGGTTTTTTACCCCAAAACAAAGGCATAAAAGATACGTTTGGAAATACAAGATGAATCCTGTTTTCATAAAGGCATCACCAGTTTGAAAACTGAAGTCACTTGAGATTTTAGTTTTAGCCCTCCCCCACTATGAAAAATAAGAGCTCACTCACTACCCAGCAAAGCAGCAATGTGACAGTCTTTATACTAGGGAAGGTCTCGAGGAAAGGCTCTGCAACATGGGCCAACTGAAGCCTAGTTCTAAGAACCATTTCCTAGATCATGTGATGAAAGTGCTTAGGAGTGGGAAACTGCCAGCGCAGCAAGGATCCTCTCACAGTATTAAGGCCCGTCCACATGGGAATGGTCAGTTTAAAGTCAGCACAGTGGACATAATGAGCTGACCCTGGGCACAGTCCCCCAGGCTTCTTCAACACATTTTCTTTTATTCAAATATTTGCTCTTCCTCTTCATCTGCTTCTTCAATAACCTGGATCTCATCTGCTTGCGATAAGGAAGTGTTCTCCACCTGCAGTTTATTCCCCTCAGCTTTATATTTTTCTTCTTCTTCTATGATTTCCTTCCATATCCTATGGTTCTCAGTGAGGTGATGCATTAGCTGACAAAATATTCGCCGTCTGCCTTTCCTTCTTTGTGGTTCTGTGAATTTAACACATATTCATATCAAAGCAAGTATGATTCAACCAATATCCAGTGCCACTATATTCTAAGTAGTTATGTAAAGCACCGAGGTTAGAAAAGTAAACAGAAAGCTAATCTCTGTGCTATGGAGATTGCATTCTAGAAGAACAATCTAGACAAGCAAAAATATGAATGAGACATGGTATTAGGTGAACTAGATAAAAATAGATTAGGAATAGAGAGGACTAACTGGTCGGAAGGGACAGTGCTGAAATTCAGGATGACAATTATAATAATCCAACGTTGAATATCAAACCTGTAACTTTTTGATGTATTGAAGCAAATACATTTACTAGTATTCTGTGGGTAGTATTTGTTTTGAAAAGCCAGGCCACCATCACAAAGTTAGCCCAAGAGTACTGTCTGCTGTGGTAGCCCTAAATACAAAGCACTTAGGCTTGAAGTAGGTGGAGGGCTGTCTGGAAGATGACACCCTGGGAGATGCTACTTTTGTTAAAAAAGAATAAAATTTTTCACTGTGTTACAGTTCTGATTTGTAGTAGACCTAGAAAAAGTGTCTAGCTAGATATAATTTAAATTTCACTTTAAAATAAGAGGGAAGTAGGGGGCTGAAGAAATGGCTCAGCAGTTAAGAGTACTGGCTGTTCTTGCAGAGGATCTGGGTTGGTTCTCAACACCCACATGGTGGCTAACAAAAGTTCTGTAACTCCTGTCCCAAGGGATCCAACCATGCCCTCTTCTGGCCTCTGTGGGCACTGCACGACACGGTACACTTACATAAAGGCAAAACTCTCTCTCTCTCTCTCTCTGCATTTTATATTTCTCTATCTCTATATCTCTCTCTAGCTATCTCTCTATAGATAGATAGATGATAGATAGATAGATAGATAGATAGATAGATAGATAGATAGATAGATAGATAGATGATAGATAGATACAAAAGGATGGATGGATGGATGATAGGTCATAGAGATGATGAATAGAAAAATAGATTGATGTCAGATGCCTACATTATACATAACTAGATGAGAGATGATATAGATGATAGATGATATATAGATACGTAGATAGATATATAGATATATAGACAGACAGACAGACAAACAGAAAGACAGACAGATAGATAGATAGATAGATAGATAGATAGATAGATAGATAGATAGATAGATTGTGTGTATATATGTGTAAAAGAAAAACTAAATAGGGATAGCACTTCATTCACGGTAACAAGGATGAGATTATTTTATTTTCCATTTGTTCTCATTGTCTTATTTAGAAAAAATATGGTCCTACATAACTCAAATTCTTATTATCAGTGTGGTTCTTCTCCACACCAGAGACTGTATGTTTTCCTTTTCTCCCCGCTGTTTTGATTCATTCCCTAAGCTCCTGTGAAAGGCTGATTAGCAGGCTGCTTTGAAGTTGTGCTTTCCTGCTGTCTTGAGGGTTAGGACAAGTGTCTGAGGAGGTGAAATGAAGGGCTAGTTGCTAGGACTCACTTCAGAGAGGTTCAGATGAGGTGATAGGCCTGTCCTGTCTGTTGAAGAGCACTGGCTTGAGAAACGCTACTTCATTAACTAACAGTCCGCATTATGTTACAGTACTAGCACAGGACATAGCATACAGCAGTTACTCAACACATGACCTCTGAATCTGAACATTTGGATACTGGTATTCAAGATATAACTACTTAAGCTTTAGCTGAGAACAAAGCAAAACCAAATTAAGTAGATATGTGCAGCTAATAACATTAAGAAAATTATAGTTTCTCTGTATTCTTACTGGGATTTAGACTGTCTTCTGTTTCTTCATCATCTGTATCTAATTCTTCACCACCACCATCATCATCATCATCATCATCATCACCACCACTACTTTCAGTATCATCATTCTCTTCTGTCTCTATCCACTGACCAGGTAGCAAACCAGCAGCATCATAGGAGTTGCATAGGGGGCCCACAATGTGCGTGATAAAAGATTCTTGGAGTTTTGCTAGTTGAGGAGAAGAACGATCCATGAAAGGACTAATGGGCAGACCAAGATTTGCTTCTTCATCTCCCTAAGCATTTTAAAAAGAAAAATGCATTTTAAATATTAAAAAATCAACCACTACCTTACGTATTTGCTGTTAAAATATCTGGAGGTCTTTTAAAACTATAGCCTACATCAAAATGATTTTTACAAAAAAAGCAATGACTATAATTGCTCTACGGCTGGAGGTGTGGCTCAGTGGTAGAGTGCTTGCCTAGCATTCATGAAGACTTGCATCAATTACCAACACAGATAAAGAAGGATGCTCTACCTTTTCAAAGCTAAGAACTTCCCCACTTGAGAAATCCTCAACAAAATTTTCACATTCTGTTCATATCAACTACTATGGCTGATATTCAGTTAAGAAAAATGTACATCTTTTACAGTATCAATAACTTTACTAACAACTTCCAATATTCTATAATGTCAACATTATTGATAGTTTACTGTTCTCTAATAACTTTAAGCTTAATTATATACAATTAGTAGGATTGTTTGAAAGGCAAGATTTTAAAAAGATAGGAAAAAGAGCATGTTTATATTGAGTCTTTGAGAACCAATCAGTATCTATACTGAACTCATTTCAAAACTTCTAATTTTTAATTTTCTGTCAGGACTTTTGCCCTGTAGATGTTTCTCTGCAAAGAAATTTAGTCTTTCTAAAACAGAGTTGAAAATGTCTTTATATTCTAAATGTGTTCTGAGAAAACCCATAAAATCACTTAAAAACTACTTCGTTTGACAATCAACTGTTGGAAGCTATAGATTCTCAAGGTTGAAAGTGACCTTGGAAATCAGAGTCTATCCTTACTTGTACAGTCAAGAGTATCATCAATTTATTTCAGACAGACAGTAAGCTATTTATCTTTGTTTGCTATTAAATGTTAGCAGCAAAGGTAGAGCTAAGAAAACACTAAGACCCAAAGTAAATATAACACCCTCTCCCCCTTTCAAAGCAACCTATATACTTCCTGTAGCTATCCAAATCCAAAGGTGCTTTCTTCACAGGGCAGTTCTTCAAACTCCCACAAATTTCATGTTCCACCTTACCTGCTCATAAAATTCATTGACGATGCCTTCTGTCCATTTCAAATGCAGGTCCCGAACTTTTGCTGGGCCGTTTATATCTGCTAGCTTGATGCACACCTGGCAGACCAGGAGGCGATCGTTTTCACTGCTCCATTCTATGCCATTACTATTCACATCGTTGGCCTATTGGGAAAACAGAATTACTTTAGGTTCTGAGGACACAGGCATTTTCTAATGTTTGTTTGTTCTTACCAAATACCTTAAAACAGGAAGAGATTCCAGTAAAGACTTCTTTAAAATCAGAGTATGCTGGAAGATGGCCCTCCATGAGTAAAATTTCCCACTGAAGCACTACTAGGATTTTGCTTCAAAGGATGCATAGCTTTTTATAAAACATAACTCAGGTTTCAGTATTTGTGATTATCATAGAGAATAATAACACATATATGTATGCTTGCACAGATGTATATGCCATGTCTAATATATGTACATATGTATCAACAAATTATAAGAACTGTAGTTATTTTTACCTCAAAGAAAGGTCATTGACAGAGCTAAGGAGGAGTTAGCTATAGCTGTGAAAGGCAAAGTGATTCAGTTCTTAGAAGCTCAACTCTATGGTTTTAAATTTTAACTCAGAATAATATATTCAATATGTTAACAGTAGAAAACATATGTAACCCATTTAAATCTAACCATCTATAAAATAAATGATACTAATCTTGTCATATGCTGCCATAAGGATTAATAAAAAATACCTGATTCATAATAAAAGCTAACATATTAATTAGCATTATTTAAGTAGATGGAATTATCATTAGATAGGTAAATTTGGTATGCTTTTAAAGAACTTAAATTTACTCAGTAAAAAGTAAAGAGAATGGTCCAGATGGTGGACTTTTGAACTTTGGTGCAATGATGGATTTTTGAGCTTTGGTGCAATTTCGGCACCAAACCGTGTGATCAGAAGAAAACTTTGTAGAACACCACCACAGAAAAAGTTAAGCCAATTGTGGCAGCACTGGGTCATACCTGGAATCCTAGCACTTGGGAGACTGAAATAGGAGGAATATGAATTCAATGCCAGCCGGGGCTACTCCAGTAAACCCTGGAGGGAAACGAAGAAGGGAAAGAAGGAGGAGAAGATACTTAAAAGGAGAGCTCCTTGGGGTGGGAAGTCTACAGTCCTACTCGCAGTGTTTTCTTAAGAAACTTCAAAAGTCTTCAAGGAACAGATTCAAAGCACTGAGTTAGGCAATCTGTCACCTACAAAACATGACTTAAGCATTTAAAATGCATTTTTATTATTAAATAAAACTGAATTTACTCATACAGCTATGAAGTCATTTTAAAGGCACCTGATTTCTCACTGTGTTTTATTATGATGGTGTCAACATGTATTGGAGGTCACACTCCTAATTCTGTGCTATCCATTTCTAGGCTCTGAAAGTTCAGCTTCCTTTAGGAAACAAAAATCCAGGAATCAGCAGCTTCCTGCCAGCCCAAACAGGGCACAGTTCTCTCAGTGCCTATGGTGGTGGTCCTCAACTTTCCCTACTGCACAGGACATACTGCTATTAGTATTCTGTCTTCTAGGTCAGTGATTCCAGACTCCACTGTGAAGAGGAATTCTCTGAGGGAGGAGCTTGATCTTCCCCATTTTCCCCAGCATAATGATTATCCATCAAGAGCACTTGCTGAGAATGAACTGTTCTCAAGGGGAAGAACACAGGTACTTCTCCTCTGCCAGGTCAGCAGTTAAAACATCACTTAATACAAGGGTGTAACCAGTGTGGCAAGGTAGGTACGAACTGGCTTCTTAGAAACACATCTTTGATCTTACAGGTTTCACTTGGTGTGAGTGACATTCTCAAATCGTCCCATTAAAACTTTGGACATAATTGGTTTGTTACTATTTGAAAAACAGCCACAATAAAATGCATACATGTGTCAAAAGAAAATATAACAAGAAACACTATTTAAAGACATATTACCATAATTATAAGTGTTTTCCTAAAAGTTAGCCCTAATGTAGCTAAACTATTTATTAAATATATAAATCATATAATCATAAATTA